TGGGACTATGGCACAAGTGGTAAACTCACTGCCTGAGAAGCTCACGTTCTGCTCTGAATCCCAGCTTGTCTTCTTCAAACTCAGTTTCTGGATAATAGACTGGGGGGAGTAGCAGAGGAGGGCCCTAAAGCTCCCTGCTGTCACATGGGAGACCCAGCTGGAAGACTCAGATGGAGCCCCAGATGGAGTCCCTGGCTGCTGCAGGCATTTGAGGAACACACCAGTAAATTAAAGACTTTTTCCTCTCTCTCTTCCCATGCCATTTTCAAACAAATAAAAATTTTAAAATTAATTCTTCTCATAACTATCATTCTTTTGGTAAATTTTCAGGTACTTTGTAAGCCTTAATTCAAATCATGTCTGTGGATGTCTTATTTCTCACCGCAGTGTATATGCTTGAGACGCTGGCACTTGTTGTCCAGCTTTGCATTCCAGAATGCCTTAGAAAATACTGCAGCTTGGGGGACCCCAGAGTGGAGCAGGTGGACAGGAGGAGAATTGTATCCCAACCCTGGAGACTCCCAGATCCTCACCAAGGACTATCAGTATGGACACCAAGGATTACATCCCAACTGCCAAGGAGATCACGGGGAATTGGAGTACCTTCGGAGACCGAGAACTCTGAGGTCATCCACTCCCATTTGAATCTCCCACACGGGATGGAAGAAGCCCAAATTCTTCCTCGCAGGGTCCAATGTCATCAGAATAACAGAAAGGAGCCCTGAGAGGTCTGCAGAAAAAGAACAGTAAACTCCCTTTGGGACTAGAGAGAGGAGCTTTCTCTGGTCCTTACTTAGTTCCAACTTTGGATCCCCACCCTCTCCTGCAATGACCATTGGGGTCACCCCAGAACCCTCCCCAAAAAACAAAAACAAACAAATTAGAATATAGAAAAACAAGGAAAGCTTAGAACCAGACAGGAAACAGTCAGCGGGGACTCATATATACCTTACTAGGTAGGACACAAAAATAAGTTACTACTCACTGGGGTATCGAAGATTTCTCTGCACATCCCTCCTGAAACCGTTCTGTGCCTCAACTGTTGACATATGCCTTGTTAGTTATAAGCCAGTTTGGACTATCCTAAAATCTGCCAAGTTTAGTAAAAATTATGTTTCAATACAATAAACTGCTAAATACAAAAATAAAAATGGACACGAGACAGCTGAATAGTACCCTATAGCCATTTTAGGTGGATAGGAGCCAGTTGTATATAAACTAAAATTGAAATGTCAATGAAGTAGTCACAGGATGTGGTTAAAAACTTGCATTTTCTAACACATCACTCAATACCATGTCATTTAACTCCATAATGTTGTAAACTGTTGTTAATGTTATGCTATGGCTTTTAATTGGTCGGGACGAAATTCTGCCAGCTCTGCTTTTAGACCAGAGATGGTCTCCCCAAGAAACTGTTGAACTGATCTGGTACATGCTTACAATGAAAGAAGCATGACTGGATTTGAACTGTAATACTGCAATAAGGTGGAGGAATCCACCATGGGGGGAGGGTCTGGGGAGGGGTTGGGGGAACCTCAGAGCCTATGAAATGATGTCATAAACTGAAATGCAATTTTTAAAAAAGCAGAACACTTCAGTAAATAAGTAGAAGATACAAATTTTAAAAACCGATGAAAAAATTTAAAAAACCTGCAGCTTGTGGGTAACAATACATTGACCTGGTGGGAAACACCTGAGTAGCAAATCCAATATTACATACACATGACAATACTTGGCAACGCGCGTGGAAAAAAGCCTATTGAGAATAATGGTTCCAGGATTTCAAAAAAGATTTGCACCAAAATAAACTTACTGATTTCATTCCTCTGTTAAGTTTCTGATGACCCCAGGTATGCCAACCAATGTCTACTTTCTATCTGTTGCCTAGCTTGCTGACAAAGATCATAAATCTTCACAAAATTTCAGTTGGAGACTACAGAACTTTTAAATATCTACAAAGACAAAATGTCCTAATAACACTTTGCTTTAATGAGCGGCAACATCAACACAGTAGAACACAAAATGCAGAATGTTTCCACCTAAGTCCACACCATAAAAAGTGGTGACGCCGCCTCTGTCCGGATGCACTCCCTGGAATGAGCTCCGTGGCTATCCCAAAGACGATTGCCTCATCTTACTGCGATTGTGGAAAACTGTCCCAGCTATACTCCGTGTCATTTCCAGAGTGACCTGGAGGTCTCATAGGGTGATGAGGTCAAGGACAAGACCCTCCAGTGCCCTCCTCAGCTTCTCAGGTGAGGAAGTGTCCACCAGGAGCTCAGATATGCAGAGTTCTCACCCCAACACACACACCACCACCACCACCACCATCACCCCATTCCTACCTTCTGGAGCCTCAGCACAGACAAGTCACACCCCACTTGGTGGGCATCCCTTAGAATATTCAAGAAAACAAGACTAGGGACCAGTAGTGCCATGGCACAGCGTAGAGGGTAAAGCTGCCAGCTATAGCACAGGTATCCCATGAAAGCAATGGTTTGAGTCCTGGCTGCCCCACTTCCCATCCAGCGAAATGCTAATGCTTCTGGGAAAGCAATCTTTGTGCCTCTGCACCCAGGTGGAAGATACAGAAGAAGCTCCCGCCTTCAGACCAGCCCAGGTGACAGTACTTGGGGAATGAACTAGCAGATTGAAGATCACTTTCTCACTCCCTCTCTCTGTAACTTGGCCTTTCAAGTAAATCTTACAGAAAATCAGGAAAGAGCAGAATAAAGATCCAAAAATCACCATATGAACTTCAAACATCTCCCAGTAGAACACGCACAGAAAGAAACCAATCCAAATTTGCGGCTCTTTGCAGTGTTGTTACTGTAATTTTTCCAAGGATGTAAAATTAAGACTTAGAAACCGACTTAGAAACCACACGACAAAAGCTACTTTTTCATTAAGTATGCTATCGGTAACCCTAGCTAGTTATGACTCATGAAAACTAGGCAATGTAGAGTAATAAAAGCAGACAGCTTGCCTCAGGACTTATTTGCAGAAAGCAAGTTAAGTTGTCCTTGTGGCTGCTATGGTGGAACTGGGAGAAAACACAGACCCATCTATTTTTCTCTGAATTCATCTGAGTACTATCAGGAAAATTTAGGCAACCTGTTGGCACTGGTAGATTTCATTGCACTAAGTTTGCCACCTTTTTTCTTTCTTTCTTTCTTTTTTTTTTTTTTTGTAATATGCAACCACAACGAACCAAAACACCTGCTTGGTCATCTCCACTTCAGGGCTACCCAGATTTTCAAACTCGGGGCTGCAGGGCCCCCAGAATGCGCTGCCTGGAAGAGGGCCAGGGCTGCGCTCCTGTCGCCACGCCCACAGCGCCTGGGGTTTGCAACGCTCTTTCTTCCCCTCCGGTGGGTGACACAGTTCCGCCATAGCGGGCGGTCACACTGGCACCACCATCTGGCAGTTTCTCGGGGAACGAGGGGACGGGAGTGGTGGGAACTGCGTGTGTGCTCGACTTCCGGACCCTACCAGCCTTGCCTTGGCCCAGACCGTGGCCCTTCCTCTTCCACCACCGCAGGCCCGCGGGGCCTTGGCACGCCTCCCTCGACGTCCCCGGCCTGAGGCCCGGTGCCGTCCACCGGGCGCCCGGGCCCTTGCACCAGCGGAGCTACCCTGGGGTAGAGCTCTTCGGGGTGGGCCACCACATCGGGGTCAAGTTACCCCGGGGTGGAAGAGACAATAAACAAATAATAAATAAATAAAAAGGCGAGGAGGCCACTTGGTACTAGCACTAGGTAGGACACTGCCAGCTGCCAGCCTGAGAGGAGGGGGCAGGGAGAAGGAGTGAGTGTCGCCACCGAATCCCGAGAAAGGCCACGGGACCCACCTCCGGCTCCCTCCCGCTCCCGCCCTCGGCCCCACCTCCCCCGGCTCGCGCACAAAGCCGTCCCGGAGGCGGGGGCCGCGACCGCGGGAAGGAGGCCGCCCGGAGGCCGCCCGGACGCCGCCCGGACCAGGCCCAGGAACCCAGCGGGGGAAACTGGGGCCGCGCAGGCCGCAACACCAGAGACGAGCCTGGAAGGGGCCCCCGTCGCGGGCGGGAAGGGCGTGCGGGCAAGGTGCCCTCCAGCCCCGGCCCCTCTGAACAGGCCCAGCGGCGCGTCCCACTCAAAGCCCGCGTTGGCTGGCAGCTTCCCAGCGTGTGGCACCCGGGCCGCGGCGCGGGCTGCTGATGGGGATGAGTTCGGGGGTGCAGACGCCCGTCGGGGTGCAGGCCAGCTTCACCCCGCCGAAGTGCCGACTCGGGGCTTCACATCGGTGTCACCACCACCACACCAATCTTTCCAAGGCCCAGTCTCCGGGCATCTGCACCAGGTGGCCGGACAATGCGGGGACGTGCGCCTGCGGCCTCCCGGCTAGGACGCTAGTCTGGGGCGCACCGCGGGCGGACGCACGCACGGCCCCGAGGCCGGGTGCGGGAAGATGGCCGTTCCTGCCAGGGCATAAAAGCTCTTTGTTGCGCTCACACAAAAGCGACCAGATCCCGCTTTGCTAGCGGGCTCCCTATTGCACAAATCGAAGGAACTCGACTAAACTTCCAGGCCAGGGACGGGGGGGTGGGAGGAGGGAGGTTGGCAGAAGCCTGGGGAGAGGGGAGAGGAATACCCCCAACCCCACCCCACCCCCACCGAAACCTCAGTTCACGTCCACGCAATTCGTCCCGAGTGCGGGGAGCTAAGGACACTGGCAAGGGAGGGAGGAAGAAGGAAAAACTTAGTACTAAGGCCCGTAGGGACAGTAAATATTCGTGTTCTTGGGAGCTTTCTCCCCTGAATCGGGGTAGAAATGTAATTCGGTAAAGTCTGGATCCACCAAAAACAAAAACAAAAAAAGGAAAAGAAAAAATAGAAAAGGCAAAAAAAGAAAGAAAGAAAAAAAATAAAACACCAACAATAGCAACTTTTAAAAAAATCACAAACCAGTTGCCATCAGCCCAAAGTGGTAGCAGCAGCAGCCGGCGCGTGTGATCCACTTACTTGTCCGACTCTTGTGACATGTTTGATCCAATGAACTCGCTCCCCTTTTCCTGGAGCCTCAGCCTCTGGTGAAACTGGACTTTCAGGTCTGTGCAGGTGAAGGTGTGTGAGAGCGCCCGAGATGGCAGAACAAGAGCTACAGGTAATTCTGCTTTTTCGTCCCCCCTCACCACTCTCGCTCGCTCGCCCGCTCGCGCCCTCACCTAGCCGGAAAGGTGGGATGGGGGGAGGCCCTCACATGGGGCCCGAGCTCGGAGGCGGCCGGGCGGCGCGGAGTCCTCCTGGATCGTGGCAATGGGGCAGACACAGAGCAGAAAGTGGCGGACTTGGGCGGCCACAGGTAACTTTCTCGCAAGGAGCTGAATTCTTTCACTAAAGGGTACAAGCCCTAGGGACGAGCTGCGCCCTGATTGGCTGCAGAGCTTCCTCAGGTGAGCTGCCATTGGCAGAGGCGCGCTCAGGTAAGGCCCTTCTCCAAGTGCAGGTAACTCACTCCGAAGTTTACCAGAGTGGAGCAGAGGCCCGCTTGTAACCCAGCTCTGTGGCGCCGGGTGGGAAGCTGAAGGTCAGGACTTCGAGCTGCGTTTCCCGACCACCAACTGCACCCCTGCCGGGGCGAGATGGTGGGGGAGGGTACCAGAAGCTGAGTTGGAGGGTGCGGTGGGGGAGGAGAAGCGGCACCTGCAAACACTGGGGATTGTGGGTCGAACGGAAGGACGGAGAACTGCACTCAGACATCCCGAACTAACCGGAGTCAAAGGCGCAGCACCCGGCGAAGGCCTATAATGCCCACCTTCGGATGACTGACGGTGGCCGAAGAGAACCGGACGAAAGTGACTTTGGTGCTCAGAGGGGAGAAGAAACCCAAAGCCGGGTCTGTTGTGTCATTGCATTTTTCACATTCTTAACCACAACAAGCATTTCCCGAGTCCTGATGCATAGGAGATAGCAGGTAGATTACAGCTTCTCAAAGAGCCGAGCATCGTTTTTCGTGAGTCGGGCAGGTGGAGAGTGGCGTGGTTTGGATGGAGCCAGGAGATTTGATGAAATACACACTGGAGCACCGCTTCCATGTCAACTGTAAAGCCTAGGATTCCCGAGCTGCAAACAAGCTCTAAATCCGTTCCCTAGACCTGTTTGTCTGATGTCTCTAGGCAGGCATCAACATTTACATTGTAATTCAATAGAAGCAGCTACTACAAAGGTGCTTTATCCTTCCAGCTTAATATGGTTGCCACGGAAACCAGGCGGGGAGGACACTGACTGTTTTCTGTGGTTCTTTCTCCTGGCTAGGAACTGCATGACTTAGCAAAGGTGTAATGTATAACCGCCCACTACTGAAGAGGGAAGTATTTATGAAAGTTCTGATGGTTCTCTGGACCATCCGTGTGGGTCAGGGAAATAAAAGAGGGTATGAGAATCTTACCGTGGTGTACGTTCTGTTACTACGGAAAGCTACCAGAATTAATACCTCGCTTTTCATCTTTAAGGAGCCCATGTTTCCTGAAAGTTAAATTATGAGGCAAGGTTTGGTCATTCCATTGTTTTTGCTCTCAGCAAATAAATTTCAAAAGTGTGTTCTTTAAAAACAATATAAGGATCAGTACGTACATTAACTTTGGAAAGCTGTTGCAATATTTGAAGATAAAGCAGCACCCAACATTTCTCGTTCTACTTCCTGGAGACAACCACGTTCCTGTGCGGCTGTCTCCTCTGTCATTTACCTCCCAGTTCCGAGTAATTGACGCTGCTATCTCTGCAGGGAGATGGTGTGTTTGACCTCCTGTAGCCGCTGATAAGGATTCAGCTCTTTGATTTCACCTAGTTCCCCTGTCCAGCCATCCTTCCAACATAGCTCTGTCATTAACGGGCTAAACGGCGACTGTGTAAATGTTAGTGACAACAGAGCAAACTGCTGTACAACGAGGGGATTTCTCTCTTATAAAAACCTTTTAACAAACAAACCAAAAAAAAAAACTTTTTAAACTATTTGTTAGACAACTATCCTGATGATTTTCTACAGCTGACCTATCAAATTTATTTTCCAGATGATCAGACAATCAGTTCTCCTTTCCGCTTGGCAGCATCCCTCCCACATGCCTGTCTTGTTCCAGTGGAGACACATCACTCCATGTACCTGCTACTCAGTCTTCAACATGGGACGCTGTCATTTCAAAAACAAGAATCCCATTGCTGCATCTTTTGCCTTCTCTGTTTACTGCTTCATTTCCTATGATGTATGTTCTAACAGAAACACAAGAAAGAATGTAAAAGGTAAATTTTTGAGTCCTTACTCCCTTCAGTTGTCTTCACTCAACTTTTAATGAGAAGTTTAAATGTAAAACTTTAAGTTGAAAATTTTTATAATTTCATAAGAATTACTCTTTTCGACACTAGCCTCTGCTGATATTACTGAGAATATCTCGCCATTTGGACTCCCACTCCTTTTTTTTTAAGATTTATTTATTCTTATTACAAAGTCAGATATACAGAGAGGATGAGAGACAGAGAGGAAGATCTTCCATCCGATGATTCACTCCCCAAGTGAGCCTCAACGGCTGGTGCTGTGCCAATCTGAAGCCAGGAACCAGAAACCTCTTCCAGGTCTCCCACACGGGTTCAGGATCCCAAAGCATTGGGCCATCCTCTACTGCTTTCCCAGGCCACAGGCAGGGAGCTGGATGGGAAGTGGAGCTGCCGGGATTAGAACCAGCACCCATATGGAATCCCAGAGCGTTCAAGGTGAGGACTTTAGCCACTAGGCCATCGCACCGGACCCGATTCCCACTCCTTTGTGACCTAACATTTTTCTTTTTGAAAATTTGTTGAATGACCCTCATGTCTCTATGTCAAGATTATGGGCACTGGTTCAGGTATTTTTTTTTTCCAGCAATTTGGTTACTAAATAGACATTTTCAGTCTAGAAGCTTATGTCTAATTCAGGAAAATTTTCTTAACAATTTCCTGCCCTCTGGGAATCCCAACTTAGCACAGTGTAGCTAAGAATATGAAAATGCTGCAACCAAACTGTGAGTTCACTTCCGGTCTACTGTTGACCTTGGGCAAGTCACTTAATCTTGCTATGACTCAATATCATGATCCATGAAGTGAAGTTAATAATAATGACCACTCCATCAACATGTCTGAGCCTCTTAGAACAATGTCAGACATGTGTAGTAAGTTCTGTTACTGCTACTCGTAACTGTTTTTCCTTGAAACTCCCTGGCTTACTATTAATTCTTATTTTTCCTCTTGGACATTGCTCAATCTTTTGTACAAATCTGGGGGATCCTTTAAATATTTATTAGTCATGTATTTGAAGTAATAACAGAGAGCGAGTGGGACCCTTCTCTCCACTGGCTTACTTCTCAAATGCCCTCAACAGCTTAGCCAGCCAGAAGCCAGGAGCTAGGAACTCCATCCTGCTCTCCCACTGGGGTGACAGGGACCTGAGTACTTAGGCCATCATCTGCTACCTTCTCACGCAGATTAGCAAGGAGCTGAATCAGACACGGGGGAAACCTATACCAAAGCCAGCATTCCGATATGGGATGCAGGCATCCCACCACCAGCCACAGCACCCATCCCAGAGGACATACTCTCTATTGATGTTATCTCAGCCATTGTAGGATCTCTGTTGTGTTGTCTGTTATTTCTAAATACAGTAATGATGTCACAGCTGCAATCATTCTTCCTGCTTTTTAAGGGTTCTTATTTACCATGGGGTTTTCTTTGGCATCCTGCTTTGTCTCAGCTTCCTTTCTGGCTTCCTGCTTCCCTGAGTGTAGTCCCATCTTGTTGGAGGCTTTTGTCCCCTGTGCAAATCCTTCCAAGGTAGGAATGAGGTAGAAAATCCTCTCCAGGAATGCTGTGTGGTGATCTGGTCACGGTTTGTCTTTTCTTGGGAAGACACCCCACATGTCAGAAACTATATGCTTTTTCTTTTGGGCTCTGCCCTTTCAAGAAATCTTCTCCCTTTTCTTGCCTGAGACAGCATTCAGCTGGCTACAATATTGTGGACATAGTCTAGGGGAAGGGTCTAGCTGGGCCACAGCTTGGCCTACAGGCTACAGTGCTATTTGGTTTTTTGCAAACACATTCTTCCTGTCTCCTCTGTGTCTGATCTACACACCTCCCTTCTGTTCTTCCTACTATCTGTCAAGCAGGGGACAGGACACCCCAGAAATCAGTCATCCCAAATGTCAAAGTTTACCCTGTTCCCATGACTTCAACAATTCTCCTTCCTCAGCATTTGCCTATGATGATCTTCAAGGTCCAGGCCATTCAGATTCGGTAGGGCCATGGAGCTTTTTACATACTGGTCTCCATGAACACATTACAGTGTATCTTGCTGTTGGATGAAGTCAGTTTCTACTCTGCCACCAACAGTTCTTCCTGAATTATGTTGCAATGTATGATGTGCTCATCATACATCTTCCACTCTTTGCCCTCATGTTCCTTTAATATCTTTTTTAAGGGAGAATGAGGATAAACCAGTGTTGGTCAGCCTGCCATCTTTCATCCAAAATCCATTTCCAAAACTGCCCAATGTTTTTTCCCAAACTATACCAAGTGTGTTTACAGCTAAACTATTCCTTAGGTTGGTTTATGATGATCAAGTGCTTTCTCTGATGCCTAGCAACTCAGCTTTGATGAGACAGCTCGGGGTTGTTCCCCTGGTTGACTAACCCTGATACATTGGTTGCTTTGCTTATTCAAGGGATATTCTCAAATTTGCCTATCATACCTTGCTAACGTTATGTAGTGATTTTTATTCCTTTGACACAAAATTTGTAAATGAATGGGAAAGTTGCTGCCACCCTGATCAGAAGACAATATTATGCTTTCTCCAAGTGCAAATCTGCAAACACTTGACTGTACTAGTGGCTTCCCATATCACATCACCTGCTGACTTGTTAGGAATGCAAATTCACCTCCTCACCCCAGAGTTGCTGCGACAACCTGTAATGTCAGCTGGTGTGTCTAACAAGCTCTCCAGGTGGGTTTGTTGCATGTAAGAGTTTGTTTTCTTCCCTACCCAGTGATTATTTATTGTTTGACTGCTGTCCTTAAGTGGAACAGTTAGCACATTAAACCAGTGAGCCTCAAGTCCATCACACTTTGCCCAACATGATCTTAGGCATTTTAGCACAGCATCTGAAGGCCAATTAAAAGGCAACAACAAAACAGCTATTTAAATGGGATCTAGGAACAAAATAGTGCTATTTTTGGACTAACATTTCACTGATGAGATTAAAAAATTAGGCTTGTTTTCAGAGGGAAAGATACTATTGTTGATGGAAGTCATGGTCTTTAAGATCTATGTAGTTGGCTAAAGTCGTTTTCCTAACGTAAAAAGTTTGGTATTTGA